AGATCAACTAAAACAAAATCAAGGCAATTTTGGATCTCAAGCCTCCTTCGACGAAGAAACAACTCCAGTCTTTGTTGGGGAAGATAAACTTTTTAAGAAGGTTTATATCAAACCTATGTGGCAAGATGAAGGTGTTCTCGTCATTGCTCAAGACCAAGAGAGAAAGTGACTTTCACTGGGGACATGAGCAGCAAGAGGCTTTTGACACCATCAAAGAATACCTTACGAGGCCTCTCATTTTATTGCCACCTAGTATGAATAAAAATATGAAGTTGTACATTGTTGCATCGGATGCAACAATAGGAAGCATGTTGGCGCAAGAGGATGATTGTGGTGTCAAAAGACCCATTTATTACCTTAGTCGAATGTTAATAGATGATGAAACTAGGTACACCATGATTGAAAAGTTGTGCATATGCATGTACTTCTCATGTATGAAATTAAAACAATATATTAAACCAATTAAGGTTTATGTGTCGTCACATTTTGATATTATTAAGCATATGTTGTCTAAACCCATTTTGCATAGTCGAATTGGGAGGTCAGCACTAGCATTAACTTAATTCGCCTTGACGTACGTCCCTATAAGGGCAATGAAAGGACAGATAGTGACAGACTTTATTGTCAGCCATGCAGTGGTTGAATCATCTATGTGGATGGTCGACGCGGATCCTTGGAAGTTATACTTTGATGGATCAAGTCATAATAATGGAACAGGTATTGGAATCTTGATAATATCCCTGCACGACTATCCTACTATATTCAAATGTAGGGTCGACGGAAAATGTTCTAATAATGAGGCAGAATATGAAGCCTTGATCACTGGCCTCAAGATCCTTAAGGATCTAGATGCCAGGAGAGTCGAAATAAAAGGCGAGTATGAAGTGGTGATTAAACAGATCACGAGAGAGTATAAGTGTGTTAAGGAACACCTCGTGGTGTACTTCACGATGGAGAAATAACTTTTGGAACACTTTGAGGTTGTTAGCGTTACACACGTGCCCAGGATAAAAAATCAAGAGGCCAATGATTTAGCGTAAATCGCCTCTGGGTACAAAGTGTTGGCGGTAAAACTGAGATACTTCATTGAAGTTAAGGAGAAGGTGGTATCTAAGGTACTACCATCAGCATCAGACTTGTCAGAAGCCGGCGGGGCAGACATCCCGACGGAGAATTTAATTGTAAGTTTGGGAAACTGTGAAATTCTCGCTATCAGAAATCTGTCACCGTCAGACTGGAGAAAATCAATCGTCGAGTATTTTGAAATATGTTGCTTTAGAATTTTTTTTTACATGTGTTTTGTGCTTAGAATTTGTTTTATGATCATTGTGTCGTTTTAGTATAGTGGTAAGCATTACTTTGATTGTGCTTTTAAAATATGAACCATGCATTTATTCTGTTTCTAAATAACTTATCTGATCATGATTTTCTGGTAGTTGTTCTTGTTCTTTAGGTTTGTTAGATTCTTGTTTGAGGACAAACAAAGTTTTAAGTTGGGGAAAGTTTGATAAGTGTTAAATTGTGTTAAATATGTGTGTAGTTTTGTGGCACTTATTACTTATTTCATTTGAATCTCTTTTCAAAACCTCAACTTTTGTAAATATTGTGTAGTTCGTATTTTCATGTAAATATTTTTTAGTTTGATCAATTTCATCTCTTTTTGCAGGTTTCCTTGCATGATTGAAGCATTGGACACTTCAAGGAAAAAGCAAAAGCTTCATGATGAATTTTGGGAAGGAAATCAAGGATCTGATACGGCTAAGCACGGTCCTAGTGCACTTAGAGAAATGGAGGCAGTGGGAAATCGTATTTTTCGCGCTAGGAGCGAACCCTGATCGCGTTTAGCGCGAGCTATGGTGGTTTACTATTTTGTTCGTGAGCGCGCTAAGCGAGCTCTACTAGTGCTTAACGCGATTTCTTTTTTTGAGTTACTATATATTCATTTCTCCATAATTTTTTTTGTTATGAACTTGGGATGTTTTATACCCATTTTCATCAATACCATTCTTTAGAGATAGAGGCTTAGAAAACAATAATAGAGGTTGCATCTTGAAGATTTGGAGCTGGATTCACATCAATCGGCGGGACACTGCAAGGGATGCTTATTCATCTTTCTTCTTCTCTTTTTATATTTATTGTTAAGGATTATATGTAAGTTTATTGTTAAAGTAAGTATTTTTATTTATCATGGTGTTGTATACGATTTATTTCATGAATCTATATCGATGTCATCTTTGTTTACCTGTTTTACATTTTGGTTTGAAGCGTGATTGAGAAATAGACTTCAAATCTAGATCTAAGATAACATCAATTAGATTCTAATTGCTAGACATAGATTTAGATCTAACATTCACCATGAATATCGATTTTTAATGCTCTGTATTATTTGATAGAGTAAGAGATCATCGATTAAACAATAAGGTAGAACTCGCGACATCGACTATACATAGCGATGTTAATGAGCGATACGTGATGATATTGATGAATGTTTTAGGTTGTGTACAACTAATTGGTAGGTTTATGTATTTGATCGGTGGATGAAATTCAATCCTGACAAGTTCTCTCGTCTCTCGGATACTTTATTTTATTTATTCATTCATTTTACATTTTGCATCCTTATACAATCAAGCTTAAGAACGTAGAAACCGTTGAATATCATCTGATGTCGCACTAATGCTTGTGAATACGATAAACAAAACACTTATTTTTACTTGCCGCTTTATTGCAACAACAGTTTCCAACACGAAACATTTTCCAATCTAACATGCAACTAAATAGTTAATTAAGTCGAAGCATTATATTGCAATTTAAAATATATTTAATTACAAATTATATTTTCTATATAAGTTGTAAATTGTACAACAATTTAAACTCTTTAACTATGAATAATATTAGAAACGCTCTATTTTCAACACTTTCTCAAACACTCGTTTTTTTTTTATTAAATGAAATATATGTGTATCTCTCTTCAAATGAATCTCTCATTTATAAAATAATAGGATTCACATTGATTTTACTATAAAAAAAAAGTAGTGTTAAAGAAAGGGCTGGAGTATTACTAGCATATTCTTAACTATAAATTACATTTTCTATATAATATTAAATGAGTCTCTTTGACAAAAACATAAATTATCTTTTAAAACAATTTTATATTTTTTTAAAAGTAGCTTTTGAATTTATAAATTTTAAATTATTATTTTTCTTGTATTTTTATCTTTACAATTTTAATTAAAACTAAATTTGATCTTATATAATATATTAGTTTTTAAAAAATAAATGTTTTAAAAACAAGCATAAAATATTAAATTTTATATCTAAAAGAAATCATAAATATCTTACTACTTCCTCAATTTTCCCCCTTGATTTCACTTTTGCTCTATGTTACTATCGTTGTACACTCTTACTATGTTATTCATCGTCTGCAAGAATGTCTTTAATTGCTATTTTAAATTTATCAACTAGTAAAACTGAAAATGTTTTAATCAATTTATCAAATATCATTCAACTGTAACTATTAGTAAAACAAGTAATTTATTAAATATTTTATTTTACTTATCAACTTTCACCGACTATAACAAATTTATGTTTAGCAAACAAAGCTGATATGTTGCTCCTAAATGCATGTTACTACTAATTTATGTTTAAATAACTTTATACAATTCACTTTGAACTACAAATTCTAATTTTAAATAGAATCAATTTTGTTTTTAAAAAACCAAACACCTCAAACTCATTTCAAAATTATTTCTACACTTATAAAATTATTTTCTGACTCTTCCAAAAGAGTAACCAAAGATAAACTAATCTTTGGTTTGGCAAAAACATTAACTCACGTTTAGTTATGATTTTTTACGTTATTTACAGAAAGGCACAAAATGGAGTTTATGCTTAGACTTGAGAAAGTGAGAAAATTATGTGATTTTAGGCTCACTGAGTCCACTTAATGAAAAACCAAACAGACATTAGGTAACTTATGACTTGTGTTATTTTAGCAAACAGAAATGACATGTTAATCCTACATACATGTTACTACTAAGTCAAACAGAACTGATATGGAACTCCTACACACATGTTAGTACTACTAAGTTGTACTTCATTCAAACCAATCCTTTTGAAGAATGTTAGCAACATTCTAATAAGAAAATACGTTATAAAAAGTGTTCACGGTCAAACTTACACTTCAATCTCACATCCAACCAAACAAATATTCCTAAAATTCTTTAGACTTTTTGCTATTTGAAATGTAACTAAGAGACAACCACAAAAAACAATTAACATTGTTTTAAATATAAAATATAACACATGACGAATTAGTAAAAATGATATTGCAATTTAGCATCAAAATACCAAGTTTTGTTTATAAAGAAAAGCAGGTCTTTCCTAAAAAAGCTGTACTTTCTGATTATTATAGCAAGTTTGATATATAATAGTTGACACCAGATTTGAATGCAACTCGATGAAACTTACTTTAGAAAGATAGAAATAAAGAAAAAGTTGCAAATTGAACACAACAACTTCTAAGTTCTGAAACCTAATTATGGAGTGAAGGGGAAAAGATGCTAAAATAAAGCTATTATAATACTAGTTTTAGCTAAACTGAAGCATCGAATAACCACATTATTTTCAAGGAGAAACCGAAGAGCTTACTATTGGTTCATCTCAAGCTATTATAATTCTAATTTTAGCTAAACTGAGGCATCGAATAACCACATTATTTTCAAGGAGAAACCAAAGAGCTTACTCTTGTGATTCATCTCAAGCTTGCAGTGGGTAGAATACACAAGTTTTCAACATTACTACAGACTATTCTAACAGTAAATGTTATAACATAAACAAGTAAAATAGTAAAATCCTTGTTTATAATAAAATCACATGATAACATAGCAAAAATAGATAAACCAAGCAAAATCCATAAACACCACTAATCCGACGATAATCTATAAGGAAATCTTCAACAAAAACAAATAAAACCTTAAATGAACCAACAAAAGAACAGAAATCTAATTCTTGGGACCAATATCCTTCAAGGCACAGATCTGCTCCTCACCCATAGCAGACATCACAGACACAACAAGGTCCTTTCCCTCAGCAAATCCATCCTTGATCTACATGCAGCAGACAAAACAATGAGTTGATACACATACAACCAGATGATACAAAGACAATAAAAAACAATCAGTTGTGTGAAAATCTAAAACAAGACAACAAACTAACCTGAGTGAGCAGACTGTCATCGGTTGGAAGCTTGAGATCATCCTTAGTGTTGCCATTCTCAGTAAGCAGACTCACCTGCAATACACCAAATCCACATCAGCAAAGCAGCATCAACATCAGTTAATATTAATAACCTACACTAAGGATATAACATAAACTACAAATCTGTTTGGATGGAGTATTTAGGATGGACGATTTATCTGTATTTTCAAAGTTAATCAAACTTCATAATGTTGATAAAAAAATTTTAAATGCACAGTTGAAAACATGTATCAGCTGAAATTTCTGGACATGATGCTAATGCTTATACAAAAAAAAAAACTTAACTGTGAAAAAAGGCTATCCTGACATATACATGAAAGGGTGAATTATGCAATCAAAAACAAATAAGAACATAAATTTAATCTCAGAAATCCATCCTCATACGCATCAAAAGGTGAATTAACTAACCAATACATAAATATCAAACCACAAGTAAGAACTAATTAATAAAAAAACAACAAAGAACATAAATTTCAAATTTTGAACTTACAAATCCATCCTCAGAGATATCAATGAGCTGGTAGTCAGTACGATTCACATGGGGAACCTAACCAGAAAACAATTCCAATAACATAAATCAGAAAACAGTTACATAAAAAATCAAAACAAATAAACGAATATCAATGAATTCATACATCACAATTATGGGAAGAAGGCACAATATCTTCAAGTTTCTTCCCAGTGAAGATATCAATAGCAACAAAATGACACTTTGCGTGACCGTGCTTCCCAGTCTTAGATGTGGAAACTTCCACAACCTATCCACAACAAAAACAATCAAATCAATAAATAGATTAATCAGAGGAACCAGATCTAAAAGCAGGATCAAAAACAATTATCAATTGAAGAGTTAAAAGAGTAAAATTACTTTGCAGGGACGATTCTTGATAACGATGTGACCACTCTTACGGATGGTACCGGCCTGCTGAGGGTAGGTTTTGGAGGCACCGGCATCGGCCTTTGATTCGAATTGATGCTCTTCGTCCGACATGGTGTTGAGATGGGGAAGTGTTGTGGCGGTGACGGAGAGGAGCAATTAGAAGAGAGTAGGTTTTTTATTCCTTCGGTTTCAACTCAAGGGAAGATAAGTAAAGTAGGGTTTTTGTATGTTAGGTTTCGAGTTTAGATTCGCTGGATATCACCTACGCGTGAAAAAGACGCTACTGCTTTTGGGCTTTGGCCCAATAAATTAATTAAAACGCTTATCTTTATTTTTTAAATATTTTTTTTATAAAAAAATATATTTTACGGTAACATTATTATCTTTTTGTTAACTTCTCATATGTGAGTAGTAAAAAAAAAACCTTTTTCAAATATATATAACTATTATTTATATTAATTAAGGTTAAATTAGTCATCAATAGAATTAGGGATGACAGACGAGCATATCCGTTCCGTTGGATTTGTTCTACAAAAATTTGCAAAAAAATAGGCCAGCATGACGAACTTAGTTAAGAGTGTAAGTTTAAAATCTTAATCCACCCTACGTAAAAATGACGGCGGACTGTTAGAAGATATAATTCAATGTTTTAGGAAAGTTATATTCGACATAGTTGTGTTAGACGAATATAACATGTGTGTCGAAGTAAAAGCATGTATTCGACATAGTCGATATAATTGTGTTTTGGTTGCTTATATATTCAGGTGACGATGTAAATCTAAAACAACAACTTCAATTTTATAAATTCTTTTTCACATAATATAGTTTCTCTCTTATTATCTCTCCTTCTTCTTCATTCTTCTTGAAAATTCTAATTGTTCCAACGAAGTGGTATCAACGAGTCCGATTGTGATTCAAAGAGAATCTGTAATGGAAAACGATAACACAACATCAACGCAATTCCCAACAAATCTATCGGTTTTCAAAAGTGAGAACTACGAGAGATGGATTGCGCAAATGAACGTCATTTTCATATTTCAAGATGTGGCTGAAATTGTGAGTGATGGAGTAGTGACATTGGAAGCGAATGCAAATGATGTTCAAAAGGTTGGGCACGAGAAACAAAGGAAAAAAGATGGAAAAACTCTTTTTTTCGTTCATCAATGTATGAATACTAATGTGTTCAAGAATATTATTGAAGAAATCTCCAAATGAGCGTGGGACAAGTTGAAGAATTTGTGCGACATAGATGAAAAACTAAAGAGGGTGAAGTTGTAGACACTGAGAAAGCATATTAAGATAACACAGATGAAGGAAGATGAATTGGTTGTTGATTTCTCCTCAAGATTAGTGTTACTCATAAACCAGGTAAGGTGTGTAATGAATTGATCAATGATTTGCAGAAGATTGAGAAAGTGTTGAGATCTCTGACTACAAATTTTGATTACATCATTGTGTCTATTAAAGAGTCCAAAAACCTATATAAGATGAAGTTATAAGAACTTCAAGTTTCATTAGAGGCTTATGAGATGAGGCTAAAGTAGAGAAACTCAGAAAGGGAGATGGTGGTTGAACAATCATTGCAAGTGAGATTCATTAAGAAGTCTGGAAAAGAAAAAGGCAAAGCAGAGAAAGAATCGTACAAATGATGAGAAGTCGAGCAATAATTCAAATAATCACTCTGATTCAACCAAAAAAGTCACAAACAACAAGTATTCGGGGGAAAAAGTTGACATGAAGGAGGTGCAGTGTTACAGTTGTCAAGGATTTGGTCATTATGCTCGAGATTGTCAAAGAAAGAATGAGTCAAGAGCAAAAGATAATGACAAAATGCAATATGCACATGCTGGAGAAAGCAACTATGATGATATGTTACTCATGGCAAATACTTAGTCGAATAATGAACAAACCAATATATGGTACACGGATTCAGGATGCAGCAACCACATGACTGGTGATAAAAATTGGTTCACCAAGTTAGATGAATCGATCAAGAAAGTGAGCAGATTTGCAGATGGCATGCATGTCACATCAAGTGGAAAATGAAACATAACTATGATTAGAAAAGATGGTAAGAAGGCCAGTATTACTAAGGTATTGTGTGTACCTTCAATGATAAGTAATTTGATAAGCATATGTCAATTACTTGCCAATAGGTAGAGTTGTCAAAATGGGTTACCCGACCCTAAATGGGTTGGCCCTAGCAGGCCTCGGGCTTTTTAGCGCTGGGCCAAAAAGGCCCTATCGTAATATGGGTTTGAAAATTACTACCCGAGCCCGGCCCTAGATTGTCTTCGGGCTACCCGGCCTTAAACAGAATTTTTTTAATAAAAAAACTCATAATATTTGTTATAAATGAAATAAAAAATTATATTATTTTTAACATAATACAATTTTAAGTACTACAATATCTTTTATAAATACTATAATGTCTTTTTAAATACAACGCGAGAAACTAATAGAATACGAGGAAATATTGTTGATTATATTAATGTATAAGATTTAAAAGAGAAAGATTGAATATAATATAGATAAATTTTAATGAGGTGAGAAATATCAATGTGTTATTTTAGAGTAAGACAATATAAGTATTATTTTTTTCATTTATAGTTATGTGGGCCTAATGAGCTACCTACGACCCATATGGGTTAGTCCTAATGCGTAGCGAGTTTTTTAGGGCTGGGCTAAAAAAACTCTGAAAATATGGGCTCTAATTTTAAGGCCTAAGCGTTATGATTTTTTGGACCGAGCTTGCCAGCCCATATAGGCTAGCCTATTTTGACAACTCTATTAATGGGTATAACATGAAGTTGGAAGAAAATCAGATGAAAGTGTATAATGGTGAATTAAGGATGACCCTGAAGGCACCATTGGCATATAAACCTTCAAACTAGAGATTAACATGGTTGATCATCAATGTTTTACTTCAACTATTGTTGAAGACAATAACTAATTATGGCACCACAGGTATGGACACCTAAACTTCAGAGGTCTAGGTATATTCAGCCAAAAGATTATGGTGTATAGCTTATCTCAAGTGAAGGAACCAAGTCATGTGTGTGAGGAATGTTGTAAAGCAGAGCAGGCTAGGAAAGTATTCAAACATGACTTGTCCATGAAGTCGAGAGAAAAGCTAGAGCTTGTTCACTCTAATTTGTGTGGACCTTTTGAAGTAAGATAAAATGGAGATAATTATTATTTCCTAACCTTCATAATGAATTCACCAGATATATGTGGATTTATCTTATTGAAAAGAAAAATGAGGTTTTCACACAATTCAAGAAATTTGAATTGCATGTCGAGAAACAAAGTGAATGCAAACTAAAGAAATTGAGAACTGGTAATGGAGGTGTATACATCTCTAAAGAATTTGCAAAGTTTATTAATGAGGAAGGTATAAAGCATGAGATCATTGCACCCTATACACTTTAGCATAGTGGTATAGTTGAGAGAAGAAATAGATGTATATTGAATATAACCAGGAGTGTGTTCAAAGCCAAAGAAATAACAAAGAGATTTTAGGGTAAAGTAGCTTCGACAATAGTATACAATTAATAAGATAGTTAATAAGACACCTTATGAGGTTTGGACCGGTGAAGCCAAATGTTAGCTATCTTAGAGTATTTTGATCAATGTGTTTTACACATATACTATAATAATTGAGGAAGAAGCTAGATAATTGGAATCAGACCATGGTGTTAATAGGTTATCATTTGACTCGTGTATACAAGTTGTATTCACCAAATGATGATAAATTAGTGATCAATAAGGATGTTTTGGTGGATGAAAGCAAATTATGGAATTGGCATCAGGGGTCAATTCGACATGAGCAAGATACAATCACAATTGTGCTTGAAAAAGATCAACAAACTAAAGCCACAACCACTCAAAATGAAGAACCACTTGAGCAAAACCTTAGGAGATCCGTTAAAACAAGCGATGAGTCAACAAGCCTAGCTGGATATGAGAGATTTCCATATCAAGCAAACGACGTAGATGGAAACTTCATAGATGAAGTGATGATGATGGGTGAATCATAACCAATTGATTTGGATCAAGCCATAAATGAATCAAATTGGTTGGCAGCCATGCAAGAAGAACTCAGGGCAATCAAGAAGAATAAAACTTGAGAGCTTGTAGAAAAGTCAATCAAGAAGCCAATTTATGTGAAGTGGGTCTAGAAGTTAAAGTTAGGCCAAATGGTGAAATTGTCAAGCCCAAGGCAGGACTGGTAGCTAAAGGTTTTCTGCAAAAACCTATAACTAACTTAGATGAAGTCTATGCACATGTTTCAAGGCAGGAAACCATCAAAATTGTTATATCGACCACAACATACAAAGGATGGAAGATACATCAATTAGATGCAAAGTTGTCATTTCTAAATGGACCATTGGAAGAAGAGGTGTATGTCAGTTAACCCTCATGATTTGAAACCAAATAGCGGGAGAAGAATATGTATAAATTGAGGAAGGCTATCTATGGTTTGAAGCAAGCCCCAAGGCTTAGAATAAGAGAATAGATAGTTTCCTGATCAAGGCAAGTTTTTTAAAGTGTGTCTTAGAATATGGAATGTATGTCAACAATGCAAGAAGGTTCAATCGAGTTATTATATGTTTTTTTGTGGATGACTTGCTGATTACAAGTGTAGATGAAACATAAATAAAAGGAGTCAAGTTGAAACCGATGCAAGAATTTGAAACGAACGACTTAAGGAATTGTCATGTTTCTTAGGGGTGGAGTTTAAAGACACAAATGAATGGGTGGTTCTGCACCATATGAAGTGTAACACCTTATTTCTTGAATTGGATGTTTTACTATAGTTTAATTATTGAATTCCATATATTGTATGTTTTGTTGATTTTGGGATATAAGTTAGATTGAGAACTAATTGGAATTATTTTATTAAATAGTCCTATATAATTTATTAATGAAATAAATGAGATAATTAGAATAACATGGTATATAGAGGAATAATAGGCAGAATTGGCAATTGGGAGAATATTGAGGATATAATGGAGAGTTAGATGAGTAAGTGAGGGTAGAAGCGGAAAACCATAGAAAGAGGTTATTTTTAAAGGAGAAAATAGATAGAAGTAAGGTCAGTTTTTCAG